AGAGAGAGAGAGAGAGAGAGAGAGAGAGAGAGAGAGAGAGAGAGAGAGAAAGGACAAATCGCGGCTTGCGCTGTGGCAGGGCGGTGGTGGTAGGTGTGGTGCGAGGGTTGCCGTGCACTCAGCGCCGCCGTGAGAGGAGGGTGGAGGGAAGCAGCAGAGAAAAGAAAAGTACAGCACGCGCAGAGAGTCCTGTGGTGTGGTCTGGCCGGGCCCCGGCCGGGTCCGCTGCAGCCCCTCCTCCCTCCTCTGTGCAGCACAACTATTAGCCGCGAGCTCGCAGCAGCATGACTCTTGACGAAGCCAGCAAGGCGCGAGCGCGCACATCACACAACGGGGCGGCCCAAAGCAAGAGTCATGCGAGTTAGGCTCTTAAACATCCGCCGCCGCCGCTGTTGCTGCTGCTGCTAGTAGTTGCAGCGTCAGGGAATTATTTTCAAGTCGAGTAGAGCGTGGCGAGCGTCCTAACGGCCCCAACTCCACTCTCGTTGCACCGAGGGGCGGCGCGCTGTGCTGCATGCGCTGCGCGCGCCCGACACACTCGGCACGCGTAATGCGAGTTGCGAAAGGCGGAGTGGCGTGGTGGCGGAGCGTAGCTGGAGGGTTGCGCCGCTGTCACTCACTCGTCAACACGTACAGCAGCGAGAGAGATAAAGGGAGAGAGAGAGAGAGAAGGAGAGAGACGGATGTAGGAGCGCGCGCGCGATGACGCAGCAGCCAAGCATAGGACAAGACAATAATGTCTCTCAACAGCCAGCGAGTTGGAGGAGAGAGCGTGACATGCATGGAGGGGATAGGGGTGGTGGAGGGTGCGGTAGGGAGAAAGGCGAAGAGGAAAACACTGCAAGTAACCGTTCCATTCCATCACATGGAGTGGTAGAGTGCTGAAATTGGATAGCATTTAGAAAGGGTGATATTTTTGTTTATTCTAATCTCAAATTATTTGGATACTACTAATTCAGGCATCGTCAAGAAAAGGACAAAGCATTCAGAGATAAGAGTATGGGACTAGTTTCAAAAACGAAATATTTCATCATCCTGACAAGGCGAATGTTGGTGGCAAACGACCCAATTATTTTTTCATCTATACGATTTCATTTTCCATAATGCCAAACGCTAACGAATCTCTTTTTCACGCTTTTCCGGGAGGTATATGGCGCGCTACTTATAAAGCAAAGTGCCGCGGGATTTGAATTTCCTGAGAGAAGGGCGGCAAAGGGAAAGGGCGGGAGGAGTCTCATGCGCAGCGCCACGACGCCTCCGCCTCGCTCCAAAATAGTTGGGGCGACAACTGCGCTAGTCAAATTATTCCGCCCTCTTTAAGGACAATGAGGACCTCCTCCTCCTCAACCTCCTCCTCCTCCCCGACATGGGAATTAAGAAGACGACGCGGCGTCTGGCGCGGCAAAACAGCCGCGGGCGCGGCGAGCGCCGCTCACCACTCAGCCCCTCCTCGTCGCGACACGGCCGCGCCCGGCCCGCCGCAGCGCAGACGAACTATCAATATAATGAAACAGAGTCTCTCTCTCTCTCTCTCTCTCCCCCCCCTTCCGCCCCTTCTCCCTATCTCACAGGCGTCACGTCGCTTTTTCTCTGGTCCATTTTCCATTTTCCTCCCTTTTTTTTTCGTGTTGCATGATGATTGACACATTTTGAAGAGAGGGGAGGGAAGGGGGGGAGTCAGCGGAGAAGGGTTATACTGAGCCCACACAATGGCAGCGAGCACGCCTGTCATCGAACAACAGAGAGAACTCTGCGAAGCCCGCCCCGCCCCGCCCCGCACTCTGGCCGGCACAGCGGCCTGTTCTGCCACGATTGCAGCCGCGGGTGGGCCCCGGCGGGGGAGCGGCGGCGGAGGCGGCGGGCAGGGCAGGCCGCCTGGCGCCAGCGCGCTCTGCACAGAGTGAGGCATTCAGGCCAAACAAACGGCGCAGCAGCAGCTGGCGCGCGGCGCGTGACGGCAGAGCAGCAGGCGGCCTGACGCGCCGAGACAAGACATGGCGGCGCCCGGGGAGCTCTAGCTCTGCATACAGTACGCGCATAAAATGCACTCGGCCGGAGAAAAGCCGCCGGAGGCGACCTTCTTCCGAGCGACGAGAAGAGCAAGCTACAGCAACAGCAGCGGCGGCGGCGGCGGCGGGAGCAGACGGAACAGCGGGCGGCAAGACAACTTTTGGGTAGACTTGAAACAAAACGCAAAAAGAGAACCACACACAAAACACGATACACGTTTCGTGTGTGCGGCGGGGCATGACGCGCGGTTCGCGTGCTCGGCATATCGCGTCGACGTTTGTTTGCTGCGCGCGCTTTAAACTTTTGGGGGCGAGGCGCGCGAGAGCGGAAGCATATTTTCACTCACTTGGCAATCTCACTCAGCAGCACGCGGGACGTCTCGACCTCCTCCTTCACCCCCCAAACCTCACCTCCACACCTCCCCCTCCACCACAACCTCCTCCTCCTCCCTCTCACCACCGCTGCCGCAGAGAGGGTAGTGCCGTGTGCCGTGCGGCCGGGTTGTAGGCGCACGCGGGACTCTCGGAGCTTCTCAAACCGCCTGCGGCCCGACCGCCGCGTGCCCCTGCCTGCTCACTTGTAGGCTGCAGCTCCCCGCCCCCCGCCCCGCAGGCGTTTTGACAACGCGATGAACACGTGTCGACGCTCCCACGGCGGCGGCGGCGGGGCAGGGCGGGCGCGCCCCGAACTCGCACACACGCGAGGTAGGCAGACCCGCAACGCAAGGCTGCGCGGCGGGCCTGCCCAACCGACGGCCCGCGGGCGCTGTGCGGCGCAAAGAGCCACGTCGGAGGAGTGCAGGAGCGGAGGAACAGAAGGACGGGGAGAACGACGAGGAAGAGTGCAGAGAGGATGACGATGACGATGAGGAGGAGGAGGAGGAGGAGGAGGAGGAGGA